GAAAACTCGCTGTGCCGTGGAGGCGCTGGAGCAAAGTTAGATGTGGATTGATTCACGGCATGTGTTAGTCGGGCCGCGCAAAGTCCGCCTGAGCCCATAACTACTGCCTTGCACGGAAGGCCTAGACCTAGACCTTTAGGGCGCAATTCGGGTAGTTGACTGGCTCTTTCTTAATGTGGTCTCACTGGTGTGAGGCCTGAGCGGTCCTAAGGAAAGCCTGATGCATGCTGTGTGTGGTGAGTTGTTCAGTTTTGTAGATCATTGCGCTCGAGCCCAACTCCGGTCGTCCTGGCACGGCATTGTCCTGGTGCGTCATGAAGAAGAGAGCGAGGCAGATACTATGCAAGTCTGCCTTACACCTAACTCACGCACATAATTCCCTGTCCTGCGCCTACTCCAAAGGAAACATGGTGGAAGCCATTGAACAGGCAAGCAGGCAACGGGGTAGTCTTGCACCAGGTTATAATATGCGTCCAAGGTCATGTTCAGCCACTTGAGGGGCTGTCATACTAATTAGAATGCGATGTATGCTGCACTGGTCATCCGCACTACAACTAAAATTGGGCCTAAGTCATTACTTTTACCAATGACAATAGTGACCATGGTCAATTGTGGGTACAGGCTCCTCGTGCAGTGTAGCATCTGGATTACTCGTGTCACGATAACTGTACCGGTACTGGCCATTCTAAGGTGCGTCCTACGGTTTTTTGTCAGACTCTAAGAGACGGCTTCGATCGCTTACATGGATTATATCTAAGTAGTCCTCCTGTTCGCGCAATCCAATAATAGCAGCAAAACTTAGCACAAATAACACCTTTCTTAAAGTGACATTTTTTTGAAAAGGGGGCAGTTGGAATATCAGCAAACACGCTGCTCACGAGTTTCGCCCTGTGGTTGTACCCGAGGGAAGCTGTAGAACCGCGCTTTGACTAATTTACAGCGCCCAAAACGAGCTAAACGACAAGTCTTAGAGCCCGGTGGTCAAGATTAACTATCCCACATGACATCAACAAATATGAACTAAATAATAATGATAATATCTACCGTCTGCTCTCAGTAAAGTTACGCATAAAAGTACCAGTCAATTTTATTCGTTAGGAATCAGCTTATAAAGTCTAATTTTTGAAAACGACAGGATCGACATCATTACCAACCGATAAAAAAGGACTCCGCTGAGTGATTAGCCTTCTAACATTTAGACCATCCACCTGAAATTATGCTACATCATCTGCCTGCATGAAAGTATTGTTATTTGATAGTCAACACTCCAGTAAGGGTAGTTTTAGAAGTAAAGTAGCTGATAGCATGATTCTGGCGTGGAACAGACGAAGCCTAAATGGAGGCTTGAAGAGGGTTTCAGTGGATCCAGTTAAGACAGCCAGTGTGATGACGGTCGCGGTTCCTGTGTTTATCCCCAGTCTAACGTCTCTCCAGTTAAACATGCCAATATCTAACCTTGGCACGAAGCCATTTAATATTCGGAAAAGGCCGTTTTAGTTGTTCGTAATTTGGTTTCAACGGTTTACAGTCATGGACTTAAGCTTACCGTAGTTTGGGTCTTATGTGGTTCTAAATTTAATTCTCGCAAACGTATTAGTGAAGACTTTTTCAGCATAAACATTAACCGGCTCGCAGGGGAAATATCTGAACCGTTTTGGGAATGGTATATCCTGTCTTTTCTAGATTTTATGATTTCAGCTTTTGACAGGCAAGCGCACATTGATGCAAATTATCTGCCCATAGGAGAAGGGCGAGTCAGTAATGAACTCGTTCATGTTTGAGACTTGCTTCCTACGTGGTACGAGGTAACTTTCAGTTTGAGGAGGTTTCTGATAAAACTGGTATAGGAAACCAACACCCCTCCCCCTAGAAAGACACCCTAAGATGAAATGTTGTTCATGGATCTTGATGTCAATTAGACAGCATAACAGCAAACGCAACAGGTGGGGGAGACTTGGATGACAGCATTCTGATAGCACCCAACAAAATATATTACGAAACTTTTCTTATCAAATCCACTTCGATCGATCAGAAATACTTTAACTACATTGTAAAAACTATTGGCATGTAGCTGTATTTCGTAGGAGGCAAGATGCACAAAGAGTATGATAGATTGAGGGCCGCCGCGTTGGCCCAACATTTATCATCACAATACAAATTGATAATCTAACAACCACACATTTATTCGCTGTCAGAGGATGTTTTCATCTGAAAGAATGGACTATTCTATCAACAATCCAGGCAAAATTCCGAGATTTTACCTCCCGTCCAAGCCTTTTTAGACTTCTTAGTTCCCCTGATAGTTGATCATTGGTAAAGCTCCTTTAATTTTAGCCTTAGGTCAATTCGTGTGTTAAACTACCGACGCCAGTGCTCTGTCATCCTCCAAAAAAAGCGTAGATTCAAACAATATTAGGTCATCGTCCAACTAGTCTTAGAAGTACTTTGCACTTGTGCATGCCTTCGCGCTTTCCTAGAATAGGTTGACCTGTAAAGCTCAAGGTAATAACTCATGAAAGACAAGAGTATGTTCGCAAAGGCCGAAAGCGACTAGTTATGTGTTTTCCAAAACTTTACCCGTTTGTTAAGGTAAGGTCGCTAAAAGTATCATACAGTGTGATATTAATGTGTTGTTAACTGCATCCATAATTAGGAGGAGGCATAATTATGAAGGTGTCGATGTTCTTTTCCTGGACTTTACCAAAGTCACTAAGACAACAAACTACGCATTGCCTTGACACACTTAAGGCATACCCAAAAAGCATTGTCAAGTAGAAAAATCTCTCTTGGTCGCTTGGACTTTCGCATTTTCAAATGCTGCGTTTCCCGAAATTGCTTTTCAAACCGACTGCAACACTGCTGAGTCAGCACAATGGAGACCACGTTGTAAAGAAGAAGGACTACACGGACTCACTAGCTGCCTTGGTCTGCTGCTTTAATGCCAGTTGACAAGATAAGTTAGTGTGGTGATTAGGATGCCATATTTGTGTGGGGTCCGCGACACCAATCCTTTTTGAGGTCTAATTCGTGTGGAACTATGAACCGACTCAATATGTGGCACGCATACATTGGTTAATTAGCTTCGCGAGTTATGGAATTCCCATTTATGACCAATCGTCTTGACTCGATCTTGCCATCTAAAAAGGTAGGTGTTGGAAGTGAAGGCAGTGCAAGTCTCCTACGCGTGTGTCACAACTACACCCTCGGACACAGAAGCGTTCCTAGTCGTTTCTGATTTTCGAATTATCAGATCTTGTAAAATTGCATT